TACAAATCTGTTTCGTATGATCAGCGAAGCTGACCACACTCATCAGGTGGTATCCTATGTGCAACTGATATAAAAAAAGAGATTAAAAGAGAGGTATTGCTTATCACATTGGATGGCCTATTGTCTATAGTTGGTCATGCGCTAATAGATTATGCGCTAATAGATTATCACTGCATTTAATTGCTAGACATATAATGGTTGATCTACAGATATTTAATACGTGGTTCATTGGTTGCATAATAAAAATTTCTTTCTGTAGACTGATCAATCCATACTAATTCATTTCTCCTGTTAAGTGAGCCTAGTTCTGGGTGACAGATTATTAGAAACTTTTCATGTAGACAGAGGTTACATCTTTTGGTAGCATTTGTATAAGCCTTACATTGCTTGATTTTCACTTGACATGATTTTCCATTGAATTGAATATTGCACATTATTGTTCTTTAAAGTCCAAATGTATTTACTTAGTTCAGTACTGTTCTTATGTTTAGCATTTATAAATGAGCTGGTGTGATTAGCGTATCTTTTTTTGAAGCTGTTCCCTGTTAATCCGATGTATGTTTCTATGGCTGAATTGTCGCATCTCGTTACGGTGGCTTGGTATACTATCTGTCTCTTAATATATATATATATATATATATATATATATAAACATACAAATGCAAAACAAGTGAATAATTAATTAAATTGCATTATGAAATGGAATGGATAAAATTTACAAAAATATTGCGAAGAGGAACACCTTAAGCTAAAAACTGCAGATAAAAGATACAGATAAAAATACAAATAAATATAAGTAAACATACATTTTTATCGTTATCGTTAAAGTGTAAACAGGCCTTATGTCCCCGCTAGGCCTGGGTCCGGGGGATGGAACTACAATTGACAAGTGCATACTATTACCTCTGAGATAGTACCATCAAATTGACTGTTCGGACTGATGCTTTTCTTGGTCCGGGGAGGGGGTAGTGAAAAGTTAGACAAGCTTAGCCTACAGACAGTAGACAAGTAGGCCTAGGCCTAGACTAGTCACTAGCCTCTCGCCAAGGCCTAGTACTACTAGGCCTAGTAGTAGTAGTAGTAGCCTAGCCACCTACTAGCCTAGCCTCTAGCATAGGCTGGACATACCTAGCTAGTAGGATAGGGCCTGGGCCTATGCGGCCTAAGCTATGCTAGCCTAACTAGTAGGCGGCCTAAATCCTATGCTAGGCCTACTACAAATACACATCGATTTTAGAAACAGTGTTCCGTGTTGAATACTCACTCGGCTTAGAGGGACTGTAGATGGTCCGGGAGAGGGTCCTTGACCTTGATTAGTAGAACTAGCCATGCTCTAATTTTAAAGAAATAACAACGACACGGACATCAAATTCGCGGTATGTCACGACCAGCCTAGGCTTGCTTCAAATGTGCGCGCAACTAGATTCATACCAACTCTCGTCATGCATGGAGGAATTAAATATACTCTCTGATCTTCTTGTGGTCGACGGAGTAAAATAGTGGTATCCAAATAGATTATTGAGGTTTTCTGCAGTGACATCTAGCATATAGGTACTAGCAAATAGCGGAATCCAGCACATGACGATTCTAAAAATAAATTGAGAAATTCCCCGGATGATTTGTTTTACAGGTATAGTAGATAAGAAACTGGTTGCCAGGTTCTTCCAAGGTGGGGGGGGGAGGGGGAAGGAGGTTTTCTGGGCGTGAGGTCCACGGTCGAAGCCCCAGTGGGGTCGGCGAAACCCCCAAAGCAAGGGGAATTTTGTGCTTTATGGGTCTAAATCTGGTTTTCCACTAACTAATGCAGGGTTGCCAGCTTGTCGACAGGCTTCACGGCCAAACACACGCCACTCACGGCCAAATTCGGCCAAACTTTTTTTCGATATCGGCCAAAATTCGGCCAGATTTTAATCCGATTAGAAGACAACAGTGGGTACGTTCATTTGAAACAGGCCCGGCGGAACGATTTTCAAAGTGGGGGGGGGGCCCACTTATAAGCAGGCGCGTAACAGGGGTCTTGGGTCAGGGGGTGGCGGCAAAGGTAACAATTTTCCCGGTTAGTAATTTATGACTTGATGTGATACCCACCTCCCACCCCCACATAGAAAACAATACGACATAGGGCTTATTTTATTATTACACACGTGTGTTTGAAACTAAATATAAGCATTTTCATCGTGGTTTTATTTATTACAATCATAGGCCTATTCTTTATAAGAGACAGAGATTCTATAGGCCAACTTAGTTAAATTTAAGTTTACCATGATTAGTCAGACTGCAATAAAACATGCAGTAAAGTAAAAGTCTTTTGTGTCCAAAATCAAAGACAAAGGGCTAGCTTATAGGCTACACTCAAACAAAGCACTTCCTGGGTCCCAGAGACAACAATAGAGTTGGCTTGTTTGGGCTAGCTTAAAATCAGAAAAGTTCCTTCAAAAATCTTTAGAAATTCTTCAAAAACAAACCTTAAAAATCACAAACTTTACAAAATCTTGGTCTTCATAGTATCCTCCATAAAATTGTGTAAAATATAAACATGATTAAAGATGTGAAACAGTAAAAAATCAACTTTTTTGTACTAGACTATAGAGTTCCAACATACACCACCACCACATCATCACCACATGCATGTGGCTAAAGGCCTGTTTATACTTCAACAATAACGATAAAAAAGCTAAAAAGCAATAGTTCATAGAAAATAAAAGAAATAAGAGAAGTTTTTACACTAGAACAATTCGATAACGATTTATCAGTTATGCGATAACAACATATTTTGACAAATCAAATCAGATGACGTCATAATCATGGAAAAACATTAAAATCGTCGTAGTAGCAACGATTTTATCGTTTGTATTTGATTATGACGTCATCTGATTTGATTTGTTAAAATAATTTGTTCTTGCATACACGATAAATCGTTATAGAATCGTCCTAGTGTAAAAACTTTTTATCGTTATCGTTAAAGTGTAAACAGGCCTTATGTCCCCGCTAGGCCCGGGTCCGGGGGGTGGAACTACAATTGACAAGTGCATACTATTACCTCTGAGATGGTACCATCAAACTGACTGTTAGGACTGATGCTTTTCTTGGTCCGGGGGAGGGGGGAGTGAAAGTTAGACAAGCTAGAGAGCTAGCCTTAGCCTACAGACAGTAGGCAAGTAGGCCTAGACTAGGCTAGTCACTAGCCTCTCGCCAAGGCCTAGTAGTAGTAGTAGCCTAGCCACCTACTAGCCTAGCCTCTAGCATAGGCTAGACCTACCTTGCTAGTAGGATAGGGCCTGGGCCTATGCGGCCTAAGCTATGCTAGGCCTAGTAGGCGGCCTAGGCGCCTAAATCCTATGCTAGGCCTACTACAAATACACATCGATTTTAGAAAGTGTTCCGTGTTGAATACTCACTCGGCTTAGAGGGACTGTAGATGGTCCGGGAGAGGGTCCTTGACCTTGATTAGTAGAACTAGCCATGCTCCAATTTTAAAGATATAACAACAACGCGGACATCAAATTCTTTCAAGGAATCGCGGCACGTCACGACCAGCCTAGGCTTGCTTCAAATGTGCGCGCAACTAGATGCATAACAACTCTCGTCATGCATGGAGGAATTAAATATAGCCTACTCTCTGATCTTCTTGTGGTCGACGGAGTAAAATAGTGGTATCCAAATAGATTATTGAGGTTTTCTGCAGTGACATCTAGCATATAGGTACTAGGCAAATAGCGGAATCCAGCACATGACGATTCTAATAATAAATTGAGAAATTCCCCGGGTGATTTGTTTTACAGGTATATAGATAAGAAACTGGTTGCCAGGTTCTTCCAAGGTGGGGGAGGGGAGAGGAGGTTTTCTGGGCGTGAGGTCCACGGTCGAAGCCCCAGTGGGGTCGGCGAAACCACCAAAGCAAGGGGATTTTTGTGCTTTATGGGTCTAAAGCTGGTTTTCCACTAACTAATGCAGGGTTGCCAGATTGTCGACACGCTTCACGGCCAAACACACGCCATCTCACGGCCAAATTCGGCCAAACTTTTTTTCGTTATCGGCCAAAATTCGGCCAGATTTTAATCCGATTAGAAGACAACAGTCATTTGAAATACTACGAAAATTATACGAAAATCAGCGGTCATTCGTTTGCAATTGAAGAAATGCAAATGATATACACAGAACAATGTTTAAAATAAATAGCCTATGTTCTTTAGTTGCTGGCATGCAGGCCAATTTAGGGGCAAATCCAGAGATGTCCGAAACGGGGAGGGCCGGGGCCGAAAAAAGGGGAGGAGGGAGGGCGAGGAGGGGGGGGGGGGCGAAAGTGGGTCCGATCGAGATAACACCATCTTAAAGGATATTGTCTTTTCTAGACGCCCGAAAATAACCTGATGCGTTTGGGCGATCATTTTTTTTTTCTTTTTTTTACCATCCCTTCCCCTTAAATCCACCTCTGCTATTTAAAATCACAATATTAAGATTGATCTAAATTTGATTTAAATATATTAAATATTAATGTATATTGTAGTCAATTTATAGCAAAATTTTTAAAGGCCTGTTATTGGCAAATCCTGGCTCTTTAATTAGAATGAATTAAGTTACATAGTTAGGTAACACAAACTGGCGTTAAAACAAACCTATGAAAACTTTAATAAATACTTTTTATCTAAACTTCTAAATTCGCCTCTGAATGTTATTATCGCAGTACTTAAAGCAATAAATCAATGTTGCTATCAGAATTATCATATGCAACCTAACTCCAGAGTAACTTCGAAGAAGTCTATGTAAAACTTGCTAGAAATTGGAGGTGCCATCCGACCCGAATGATCACATCATGGACCTATTAATAATTATTAATAGGTTCATGATCACATCGAGCATTTATATATGGCGCTCTACATAAAGAACACTGCAGCACCTAGGGCTATACAATTCAA